TCAGATATTGCAAGGGATTCCTCTACACGGATATTGCAAAGTTTTTACGCCGGAGAAGATTCGAGGGCCGGGATTTTATTCGTCTCCATTTTTAGTTTTAATACAATGTATACAATATTTTGCTTGGCCAAAAAATGCCTTCTCCGGCAAACTTTCTTCTCTTCTTTGCTATTTAATCATATACATTGATACAAATACATTGTATTATGTACAAATTCACTCAAATCCACTATATTTTTGCATAAATATATTTTTTTTGCTTGTATTTATGTATTTCAAAGGTTTGTATTTTTTTTAATACAGCTGAATACATTTGTATTCATGCATGAATACATGATACAAATATTGAAATACACTGAATACAAACATTAAAATAAAATAAAATATAAACAGTGAATACATTTAATTTTAAAATACATTAAAATACACTGAATATAAATAGAAATACAGTGAATACAACCAATGAAATATACTGAATACAACAGTAATAACATGTATTAGGAATAACTAAAATACTATTAATACAAATATATTTGAATACAATGTATATAAAATAGCGAATACAGTAAATACAAACATTGAATATAATGAATGCAACAGTAAAAAAAAATTAAAATACACTAAATACAAAAGTTATATACAATTGAAAAATTATTCTAATTAATTGGGTTGATAGTGGGGCATGATAGAATTGATTTTGTTGAGTTATATTAGGAGTGTATCTTGCTAATTGATATTATTTCCGTTATTAGACAGCTGGACATACCTATTTTTTAAGGTGATTGTCGTTAATGTATTCATGAATACATGGCTGCCCTGATTTTAGGCGCTTTTTGCTGTTGTATTCATGAATACATGCGCGTACAGTTGGACTACCCTGATTTTTAAGCGCTTTTTGCTGTTGTATTCATGAATACAACAGCGCGAATATATCGAATACATTACCGTAACAACTTAATAGTAGCTATAGGAAATAATTATATATATGGTAGCTATAGGAAGTTAATAACCACTAAACAATAGTGGTTTCTGAATATTGCTCTCTGGGAATTCAGAACTCATATAGCAAAAGAAAATGCATCTTTTAATTTCTGCATACCTAAATTATATATCTGCCCAATGATTGGAGAAGATTAAATAGCAATCCCAAACTTAGCTATATTTTAGGTTAGTTTAAACCATTACTTTCATTATTAAAGTTATCAAGCCGTTAAAAGATGAAGAATTTTAAAAAAAACAGATAATATGGACTACATAGAGTAGTTTCGTTGAACAACGAGAGTCTTGGTGAAGCACTTAGGCCTCGTTTGTTTGTACTTAATGGAGGTATGAATCTTAATTATTCAGATCTTAAACATTAAGTGCGTTTGTTTTAAAGTCTGAATCTTAATTATTCAGATCTTAATCATTAAGTGTGTTTATTTTTTTTATTTCACAACCACTTAATGGGTCTAAATAGGTCTATATGATTAAGATCCATAACAGAGACTTAATTTCATTAAGATGCTATCATCCAAATTCATTATTAATTGTCACCACCGCTTACCATTATCAACTACCACCATGCCACCACCACCATCACCACCATCATCCTCAATCATAGCCGCCACTATAATCGACTACCACCACCCGCGCATCCGCACCACTCCCACCATCATCATTCTCAACCACAAACACTCATCCACCTCAACTACCACAACTAACCACCACATCACCATCAACAATCATAACCGGCACTATTCATAATTATAAACTACCACCACCCACCACCAGTGGCGAAGCCACATGGTCCTAAGGGTGGTCGACTGACCACCCTTTGTCGAAAAATTATACTGTGTATATAGGTAAAATATTATATTTTAGAGGTATATAACACATATTGAACACCCTTTATCGGAAATTGTTTTCACTTCTTTTAAAATTGTACACCCTTAGAAAAATTTCTTGTTTCGCCACTGCCCACCACCCTTCCTTAATCACAATTTCCACCACCACCCGCTATTATTAACTATCACCACTCACCACCACCATCCTCAATCATAATCGCCACCACTACTAATCACCACTAGCTACTACCCTGAACCACCACCATCAACCAAACCTACCACCAACCACTGCCTCTAGTCGGTATTCAAAAGCACCGTCGTTAGCCATCACCACCAGCAACTACTATATTTTAAAATAAATTATATATTTTATTGATAGAATATTTGATTAATTAGTATTTCATTTAAATTTTATGTTGATTAATTTTCAAATAAAGATAAATTTTATACATTCAGATATTAAAAATCAAATATTCTTAATCATTTAGTATTCAGATCTTTATACACATCTTAATATTCAGATGTCTTAATCTGAATATACATGACGTCTTAATCTTTAAAAAAAAAAAAAAAAAAAAAGGCCTTATTAACCTAAAGGTTCCATTTTCCCAAATTTTGAATTCGGTCGTGTAAAAGGTCTGATCATCTTATGAATAAATGCAAATATTACTCCATTTGGTCCATAATAAGTAACTTTTTGACATTTGACACAACATTTAAGAAAATACTAGTTAACTCCTAGAAAGAAAAAAAAAAGTATTTTGACTAAATTATCCTTAATTAAAATTAGCATATTATTAACTTGACATATTGAAACTATGTAAGCAAGGGCAAAGTTTGGAAAAACAAAGGTCTGATCATCTTATGAATAAATGCAAATATTACTCCATTTGGTCCATAATAAGTAACTTTTTGACATTTGACACAACGTTTAAGAAAATACTAGTTTACTCCTAGAAAAAAAAAGAAGGTATTTTGATTAAATTATCCTTAATTAAAATTAGCATATTATTAACTTGACATATTGAGATTTGTAAATAAGGACAAAGTTTGGAAAAACAAAGGTCTGATCATCTTATGAATAAATGCAAATATTACTCCATTTGGTCCATAATAAGTAACTTTTTGACATTTGACACAACGTTTAAGAAAATACTAGTTTACTCCTAGAAAAAAAAAGAAGGTATTTTGATTAAATTATCCTTAATTAAAATTAGCATATTATTAACTTGACATATTGAGATTTGTAAATAAGGACAAAGTTTGGAAAAACAAAGTTAATTCCTTTTTGATTATGTAAAATGTCACTTATTTTGGACCAAAATAAAAAGGCAAAAAAGACAGATGGTTCTCCGGACTCTCGACTTCTTAATTGGTCAAAGCACTGTTTTCTAATTCAATAAATTAGTTAATTATGAATCTTGTTACATATATAACCTGGATAAAACAAAACTGCATATATAATTGGATATAATTACCCATTTTGCTGCCAGGAAACATTCACTTGAACAAATTAAATGCCTTTTCCAGTAGCAAGGGTCCCGTTCTTTGAAATAAAATATAAATAAAACGTTTATTTTATACCAAATTACCGTCTTGATATGATATGTTAATATAGGTCCAAATTCTTGACGTGCTGTTAACAGTGAGCTAAAGCCTTTTCAGTGTGCCATTATCTGTTCTGTTGGCCAAAAGTTAACAAAATGAAGGAAACTGCATGTGATAGCAAAACTTGTTCTATTTTTTAATATTTCACATGCACTATCCTGTTCCAAAAATTGAATAGTAAATATTTAGTAAAAAGGGGTCATGAATATCTAATCTAGATGTAGAAATTTTCCCTTTCCGGCAGTTGCTTATTGGATTTTGGAAAATACTTACTAAGTATGACTTTTCTAATGTGAAAGATTGAGGTTTGTGTGGACTCTCTTTTCACTAGAGTGTAGAGAAACTAGTTGGTGCAATGTACCCTGAAGAGGAGTTTATTAAATTGGTATTTAATGAGAACGTTTTACATATAACTTGCGGTTTAGATAGATTAATCAAACTTAAAAGAACATTTTATTTTTATTTTTTATGTTTCGGTTTAACTATGCAATACTTCAAGGTCACTGATCCAATTAATGCGGAATATTTGCGCCACATAAATTCACTAACAGAGATGAGACACTCTTTTTTTTAACTAAAACATTATCCATTCTAAAGATTGGAACACAAGATCTCATATTAAGTAGAAAGATATCCTAATCATTCCATTACACTCTTCGATGATTAGAATATTTTGTTTCTAATAATCTTTTCGTATGAGTTAGAACTTGAGATCTTTATAGAGGTATGCTGATCATTCCACAACATTGTTTGGGTGATAAGATTTCTTTATTTCTATCTATCTTCTGGTTATCGTTTGTGGCCTTGCTTTATATTAATTGCCTTGAGATTTTGGTTGAAACGGCTATAAGACTAGCACAAAATGGCGATTGGTGGAGTCAATATATATATATATATTATTATTCTGTTTTCCGGATTACGCCTAATATAAAAAGTTATTTGTTGATATAGGTCAATGATATTGTATCAAGTCTTTCTAATGTATGCACATTGCACAGAATATAAACTCATATTTTTAAAATTTGATAACTGATAATGGTTGTGCCAACCCCTGGTTTCACTACATCTCCCACTGTTTTGAGGCTGTATTATTTTTAGGGTGATGCTAAACGGCCCAACTGTTGTGACCCAACTTTGGCCACCCGCATGAAAAGACATCAAAGACCCCCTAACTAATTAGCCTACATTTTTCCCTCCAAAACACAAAATTAAATCCCAAGCCTTGAAGTATGCAAAAATTAAATGTTGGTAGCTGAAGAGTCTTTTGTATTATATTGTATTTCCATTGTATTTATGTGTATACAAATTATACGATTTAGTGTGTATACAAATTATTGTATTTTCTTCCTTTCTTAAAAATAAATACGGTGTACGATTTAGTATACTTCCTTCATATCAAACCAAGTGATACTTTCTCCTTATCTAAAAATGGACTCAAACCAAGAAAATTCGGTGGTGCAAGAAAATATGAATCCAAATGAACATAACACAAATACAACAACCATGAATATGAACCACGAAACTAGGTTTGATCGGGTTAGGGACGAGTTGTATAGATCTTTAGGGATGACATCGGATGACAGTTTGTTGAATGAATACAAATGGGTAGATGATGATGATGATGAAGAACCCGATGGAGAATATTATGGAGAAGCTGACGATGATGAGGAGCAGGTTTTAGGAAATGAGTTAGGGTTATGTGATGTTGATCGGGAAATGGAGAATGAATTCACTAAGGAGGATGTGGTTGTAGGTCCAATCTCTGGAATGCGATTTAGTGATAAAGATTCTTTGTTTGCATTCTACAAAGAACGTGCACGATTGAAAGGATTCTCCATTGTCAAAAAACAATTCCAACAAGAAGGGTGGTGACACTGCCAGGTACGTAATTTACTGTTGTGATAGGGCTAGGATTCGCAAAACAAAGTTTACCACCAAGAGTAACAATTGTAAAGCTAGGGTTGCTACTGTTTTGGATGATTCTGGTTGTTGGCGCGTATCTAAGGTCGTTCACGATCACAACCATGATTTGCTCCCTTCCATATCGCGCATGATGGCTGGACATAGGTCCGTTTGTGATTCTTTGAAGAGGGATCTTGTAGCTCACGATCGATCTGGCATTAGACCCTCCAAGAATATTAGACTTGCTGAGGTTCAACGTGGTGGACCGCAAAATTTGGGTTGCACTCCAAAGGATTGTAGAAATTTTATTTTAAAGAGTAGGAATTTTGAAATGCAAGAAGGGGACGCACAGTCGCTGCTCAACTTTTTTCGTGAAATGCAGGTAAAGGATAGGGAGTTTTTCTATTCAATAGACGTTGATAATATTGGTAGGCTGCAAAATGTGGTATGGGTGCATTCACACTGTAAGGGAGCGTATGAGCAATTCCATGATGCGATATGCTTTGATACAACGTACCTTGTGAATCGATATAATATGCCATGTTCTACATTTGTTGGCATCAATCACCATAGACAGTCCATCTTACTGGGATGTTCTCTCATGTCTCATGAAGATATCGATAGTTATAAATTAGTTTTTAAAACTTGGCTTGAGGCCATAGGAAATGTTCATCCAGATGCGATCATAACTGAGAGCATTAAGCGAGCCATTGCTGAAGTGATGCCAAATATAATACATAAGTATTTTATTTGGCATATATTTTCAAAGTTGCCTCTTTACTAAAGTGGTGTTCTTCCTTCTAAAATTGCACGTGGAGAATTTAAATCTATGGTCTTTGATAGCATTACTGTTGAAGTTTTTGAGAGAAAATGGACAGAATATATTGCAAGGTATAATTTGCATACAAGGAATTGGTTCAACAAGCTTTACTCTGAGAAGGAAAAATGGATTCCTGTGTACCTTGATGTGTATTTTTGGGCTGGTATGCTATCTACGCAAAGAAGTGAGGGGATGTATGCGTTCTTTGATGGATATATTACCCGTCAAAGCACTCTTAAGATATTTGCTAACCAGTATGAGTTAGCTATAAGAGCTAAGCATGAGAAAGAGTTGGAAGCGGAATACAGGTCAAAGGGCTTTCAAATTGTGTGTGAGTCAATGTTCAAGTGGGGGGAGCAGGCAATTCAGTGTTATACGCATACAGTGTATGAATTTTTCAAGACACAACTAAGGAAATAGTATCATTGTGAAGTAAGCAGCCCCGACGATCATCAAGTTGTCCCTGGTGTTGAAAAATTCATCGTTAGTGATTTTTCAGTTTTAAAAAAAATGATGGAAAACCAGTTGACTACAATATTGAATATACACCTATCGGCGATTATTTTAGTTGCAGCTGCAAATGGTTCGAGTCTAGAGGGATACTTTGTTGCCATATACTCAAGATCTTGTCGAACAAGAAGACTGATAAAATTGATGAAAGGTATATACTAACAAGGTGGAGAAGCGATATTATTAGGCCACACTTGAATCGGTTCCATCAAGTTGGTTACATAAACATGATTCCTGAGTACAAGATATACAGGAGCATGTTGAAGTATTTTGACATAGCTTGTGATATAGCACTGGGAACTAGCGTGAAGATTCAATATGTTAAGCATAATTTGAAGAAGATGGTGTATGATCTTCAAAACTGAGAGGACGAAATGATCGTTCCAAACGCCAACCAGGATGACTCAAATGAAACTGACGGCACAACTCTACGAGATTCCCAGGACACTCGTTCACGTGGCAGGCTATGTTTGCATCGATATAGAGGAATAATTGAATACTACTTTACAAGTTCACAACCGCGTGGTTTATTTGGAGCTAGTAATGATGCAAGAACTGGTGTTAGAGGGGGTGGAAGGGATGGTGGCAGGATTGGTGGCAGTGGTAGTGGAAATCGTGGTGGTAGAGGTGCCGGTAGAAGTGGTGAACACAGGGGTAGGGGTAATGGGCAAGGCAGAGGTACAAACATTGAGCATGATAGTTCCCTAGGTGTGAATGAGGTATAATTTTGTGACTACATTTGATTTATTTATTACTTAAACATATCATCTTTTCTTATAGTGTTTGTTTGATTTAAATTGCAGCAAATTGATGCTACACAATCGCAATCAAGCTTGTTTGATCTCAATTCCGATCCAGACTTGGAGCTATAATAAACAATAAAGAATATAGCTGAAACTTGGAGTTCTATATAGGCATAATTGTATTGTTGTTTTATTTGGTCCATGACTTTTTGATTTTGAAGAAATTTTGCTTGTTTTGTATAAACTTTGGTGTTTAATGATTTATGAAACTTAAACATATCATTTTTTTTCTTATAGTGTTTGTTTGATTTTAATGGCATATTAGCTACGGCATTATTGTTGTTATCTCTCCCTATGATTTCGGATTAGTTACATTGTACTCTAATTACTCTCTAAGTTCTTTCCCTTTCATACGCTACCAAGGTTCAAAACCTGACATCAACATATTTTGTTTTTGAAAAATTGTTCTTTCCCTTTTGTCTAGCATCCGAAGAGTCTAGAGGTGGTTGAATTGTATTTAATATTTCGGTCTCCAATACTTTGAATCACTAATTAATACAATTATTCATTATTCGTGATGACTTTTTAAATTCTCTATGACCAAATTATATTAAGAATTTCAAGATTTTTTTTAAAAAAAATTTAATGTTTCACATTCTTGGTTCTATTATATCCGAAAGAAGAGGAGGACATATGATGACTTTTCCAATTCTCTATGACCAAATTGTATTAAGAATTTCAATTTTTTTTAAATTTTTTTAATGTTTCACATTCTGCGTTCTATTATATCTGAAAGAAGAGGAGGACATGTAATTTCCAGTCCTCTTCCCAGTAGTTTAGGTTATAGTCGTTTTTCTAATGCTAAATGTATAAAATAATTTTCATAAACATAAAAAAAGTATAACAAGAAAAATCACATACAATAATTTCAGTCTTCTTAAAATAAATAAGTATAACAATAATACAAGGAAAAATAACATATAATATTTTAAGAAAATCATATTAATCCATAAATATTTTAATGACAAGGGTAGAACACAATCACTACATGACTTTAATGAAAAATTTAAAAAGCTAAGCATTAGATATTCCTATCCCAGCACTTCAACAACGAATATCACAGCACTTGATGTAGCCTCTACAAGTTCAAAAAGAAGAACACTCCCTTTCTTCAGATTGTTGTCGACAACAAATTGTTTCCATCCCTTAACGAGTCTTCTTCGAACAACACCTGTTAGAGTCATATTCCACTCCTTCCTATTACATCGAAGTAATATTTTAGCCGAACTAGGAGGAAGATAGTCACATATACTATTTGGAAGGTGCTGCACAAGCGTAATGGAAAGATAGGGTAAAAATCATATCACTTAAACTAAAAAAAGAAAAATAAATAAATTTACCAGATCATCGCGCCTGATGTACGATC